TTCGACGACTGGCCTACCTGTGCGAGGTGCATCTTTAACATCAAAAATTCCTGAACGGAATCTACGAAACCAAAATTGCACATAATTGGCTGTTACAGTATCGGAACCATAAACACCATTCACAATTTTAGCCGCCTGGCTTGCATTTTCGCCTTTGTCAAAGAAAAACTGTAAAATGTACCGAATTTTCTCTTTGTTCACTTCCATTTTTAACACGCTGTAACTCACAACTGAATGCACCAAACAAAAAATAGCAAAAGAATTTTTTTTACTGCGAAATGTCACCTTTCCAACGAGCATAAATACGAAATTGTTTGATCGATACTTTACGAGAAATCTATCAGTGCAGCCATCTACCGAAAAAATAATGGATTTCTTTTTCCCCAAACTAATATATATATATATTGTAGTGTGATCGCATACCGTCATATGCATTCACTTTGAAGCACTAGCAAAAAGAAAAACAAAAATTTTTTCCCACTTCAACAGGCTGAGTATTGTAGTACAAAATGCAATACGATGCCACGCGCCCCAATTAATTAGTGATTACGTTAACATAATGTCACCTGGTAGAATTAAGTATAAATAGTGCCAGCAATTACACAGTATTACCAAATTCATTTAAACATCGGCTAGGTCGTTATAAATTGAAAAATCAATTTGCTGTTGACTGAAACAGCATTGCCTATAGCAAAAAACGAATTTATATGTACAATTCACATTGCAAGGCAGATAGTGAAAAAAATTTTTAGATAACTTGAGCTATTAAGGATATATTGAAGCTATTTTTCTATGATGAAGATCATATGTTGATATCAACATATTGTCAATGGATATCAATCAAGAATACAGTTGTGAACTTTGAGCAGTCTACTCCAAGTTTTACGAACACACAAGTCTTAGAGTAAGTGAAAAAAAGTAAAATAAAATTTTATTAAATTCAAGTTTGGAAACTCTGCGTGCGTGTAATGGTCGCGTTTTAATTCTTTGCAAGAAATATTTCAATTTCTTAGTGCATTTCTTAGCTTTTTGCCTTTGTTCGTGTCTAAAGTGTAAAAATCTTTAAAAAAATAAAGTAATTTAACTTATATGAAATATATGTGAATAATTCATTTTGGTTTTGTGCAATCAATAATTAGAGCTCGTGGTAAAAGTCTCTTTCTGTTAATCTTTGTTTACAGTTTATTTTGCTTTTGCTCTATATTTACAGTGACAACGAAAGTGAGAAGTTTGCTTTAATTTGCTGATAATTTGTGTCGTGGAATCTTTTAGTTTTTTCCCCTTTTTTTCTTCATAAGCTGTTTTTGATGTTTTCACTGGACATGGATTGTTTATTTACACCATGTCGTGCGAAAACAGGCCCTGAATCTGAACGATTCATCTCGTGTTGGCTGTATAATCGTTTTTGTCACGCAAATTATGCTGGTATTATCGGCCGTGTTGCTAATGCAATCCTTGATATCTTAAAAGGCTTACGATAGTCATGTCCTGACTGTAGATAGCGGGACTTAGATTTCTACAAACTCCTCACGGAGACGAGAAATTGTTTCTCAGATTTGAACAAAAATCTCGGCTCCATAGCAAAGTTGCAACTCGTAGCGTAGCGTATGGTTCGTCACCTCTGAGATCTCCTAAATCTGATGCGTTGATACAAGTTAGCGCCTCCTCAAAGTCCAAAAGAACGTAGCGTTTCTGCTATTGTTGAGTCGGTAACAAAAAGTTACAAATAAGCCGCGAAGTCCTTCTGGTTTGAGCTATGCTGAAGTAGCAAGGGTATCCCCTCCCATTGGCATCACTCAGGCGTCATCGCCTAAAACTAATAATGAGAATAGTAAATCGTCCTCTCTTCTGGCTGTTCAAGGATGAACGCTGGTCGCCAAACTTGGCACGCCGCACAAGCTGTTCGTGCAAGTGTTCTTACCCCTTCTATATTCTCCCCAACTCAAAACTCTCCATCCGTGAACCCTACTGCTTCTAGTACAGATGACATTTGCTTGAACGCAGTTCCTCCCAGAAAGGCAGTATATATGTCAAAACTAGCACCTGATACAGCTGTGGATAACATCAAATGTTATCTCGTAGCGAAAGTCTCATCTGTCAATTTAAAACGTGGTCAACTAAATATTACAAGAATAGGAAAAAGAAGCTTTTCAACAAATTTTCGAAAAGTGGTCCTTCTTTCGACTATTTCGCTTACTCAGTGGCAAGGCATAGATTTAATTCACTCAACCACCAATATTATTGCAGGTACCTTCAGTTTATTAAATCCTTTCTGTTTGCTAACCCTAAATACTTTTTCTCCATAAATCCCTCGCATGTTTCTTTTAATGGCTCTGGGTCCTCGGATGATATTGAAAGCTCAAATCTCTTTGTATCTCTTACAATCTCGAGTATGTCCTTGTTGTGTGGTCTCCTTCATATAGGTGCTACGTAAATTCAATTAAAAAAGCAATTTTTGCTTTACCCTTAGGAATTTTAGTTGGGACCCGGTTGCTTCTCTTCCTCCTTTGAAAATAGGTTGCTTTTATTATCCTTACCGTCACTTGAGAAACGTAGATTTGTTTTTGGGTGAGATAAGCTTTAATGTCCTTAACTGCTTCTCTAGGCACTATATCATGATTAAGCTTAGTAAATGTACACGCTCAGAGTTGTTTGCAGAAACCTAAATGATGTCTATCACTTATTATCATTATCGGACTCTTTAAAGTCTATTATAGCAACTTTGCTTAATATGCGCGATTTATCTATGTCGTACTTAAACTAACTTCTCATTCTTAATATCTCACTTGTTTTATTGAAAATAATATTGTGTTGTTACTGCGTGTTGCGACGATTCAGGTGTTTCTTTGTTGCTTTTTTTCTCTTTTCTCTCTTTTTTTTTATCTTTACATGAATCATTATTTTTAAATTTTTAATTTTTTTTTAACTTACTTATTATTATATTATTGTTCTTTTCATCTTCCTTTTTATTGTATACTAGTTTTTAAAACAATTAGTATAAGATTTTCTCTTAAGATGAACTAAATTCGACTGTAATTTTCTTCAGTTGAATTTCATGTATAAATGGGTAAAATAAAATAAGTAAATAAATATAAAATGGCCCTTGAAGATATTATTTTTGCAACCTCTTGTTGGGGAATTGAATGAGAAAAGTACAGCGGTGGGTATGCAAGATTCGGCCCAGTCTCTTGCTAGTTTTTATTAAAAGCAAACAATCTTTGTAAATTTTCTGCTACGTAAAATAGTTCTAAAACTATTTGATGGTTGGTTTGATGAGTGATTGTTACCATTACCATTGTTTATACAGAAGACTCTTTTAATGTACAGAATAAATATATTGGAGAAAAATCGTCCGGACAGCAAAAGGTACAACAATTTAGTGGAAATTTATTAAAAAACCACAAAAAAGAATTAATAAAATAGTAACAGAATTTAATTAATACAAAAAAATAAAATTGAAAAACAAAGGTGCATGAACGGCACAAACCTTATGTATGTAAACTTAAACGCTGTCCAATATAAATCGCTAAGCATTATACGCGTATTATAACTGTACAAATAATTATCTGCGGCAGAGGGACAAAAAAATTAAAGAGTTTTTGCTTAGTTAGATATGCAAAGAACGCAAGAAACTGTACGCCCATATAAAGCATTGATATTGAAGCCGAATATGTTGCAAACAATGAATAAGAACATATAGAAATTTTTAAGCATTTCTACTCCACTCTTTGCTACGCCCTGTCGAGATTTGCAAATTAACAAACAAGTAAATATAGTAGAGAGGAAAAGGGCAGAAACAAAAAAGAAAGGCATTGATCAAAGGTTCAAGGAGCAAAAACGATTTATTTCAAATATAAGTTGTTCTTTACGTTGTATTATTGCATTGCTTTATTTGAAAGAGTGAATCTTAAATTTTGGACATTCTCTGCGATTGCCTCAACTTTTCCTCGGTTAGAAGTATTGCATTGTCTGTAGTATAAGCTTTTCGGAATCCTTCGACTTCGAGATGGAGCACCATCAACAAATTAAGGAATGTAATTACTACAGCCGACGGGAAAATTAAAATGTTATGGGTACCAAGTCACATCGGTTTATTGGGGAATGAGCAGGCTGATCGAGCGACAAAGTATGCTGCTTCTGCTCCTCTAATTATGGATGATGTCATGGAAAAGTTGGATCTTCAAAGATACATTGGAAGAAAAGTTAAAGAGAAAATTGCAGAAGGAAGTTTACAATACCATCATCAACACTACTCTTGCATTAACCCTCAATTAACTTCATCTCTATATCCAACAAATGTTGAGAAAACCAAGATCCAAACATTTTCGAGAATTCGCCTTGGTCATACAATTGCAACTCACCAATGGATCCTAAAGAAGTCTTCTTCCCCAATCTGCAGTTGTGGACAAACTCTTACTATAAAGCACATTCTCTGCGACTGCCTCAACTTTTCCTTGGCTAGAAGTATTGCATTTGGAACTATTAACCCTTTGAACATTCTACAATCAGCTTCAGAACAGAATATCAATTCAATATATTACTTTTTTAATACTACTAAGTTCACTATCTAATATCCATTTATTTAAATTAGAGCCGATAGCCTGTGTTGCTAGTGCTCAATGTCTTTTTTTAGTCTAAGAATTCATTTCATTAGTCTAAAATTAAAATAATAATAATAATAAATTTTGGAATCAATCAACAGGAGTAGAAAAATATTTATTTCAAATAACGGTTTGTGATAGCCCCATAAACATGATTATGAAGCCTGGCGAAAAGATTTTTCCACTGAATCACCATCATTAATGGGCCTATTATTATTTTTGATATCATTTGTTTACATATATTTTGGTTTAGTACTTATTATTTTTCTAATCATATGTTATTTGTTACATTTACATCGATCTTATATTTAATTCAAGCGATATGGTAACCAAAACGACAATGACCTTTCTATATGGTAACTATTTGTGATCAGAAATGGTGATGTGCATATAGAAGGGAAAAATAATAACTGAAAACAACACTGAATGTTATTGCATACGTAATTTAACATCAATTAATAAACAAAGCAACAGTTTTTAAGGGAAATTACACTTTTAAAAATCGTTCACGGTCTCTTTGTGGCTTTGTGGCTTCGTATCAGTTATAAAAAAAAGCACCACTTGTTTATCTGGCTAGTATTTTGCCAATACGCAAAGGATGTTAACAGCTGATTCGCAAAGCGACTTTTTTAAAATTTTAATGTGGAATAATAGATAATTTAAAGGAAACTTAATTCCCTCAACAACCCAAAAAAAAGAAGAAAAAGGAAACCTTGTTTAAATTTAATTTACACTTCGAATTTTATATAAAATGGATAACATTTCGATAGCCTACAATTCGCTATTTTCAGTACATGGTCGTCGCTTTTTAATAATTACATTGTTTGGCATTTTTGGTTTGACAATTGCTTATTACGTTTTCCAAACAATAGTTTTCGTTCAGATAAAAGGTCTGTATATTAAAGCTAGCATTCGTAATTTAAATTTACAAATTTTATAGATGTTCTTAAGAACCTGGACGGAGACTTTGCGAGGATGATCAAAGAAATCCACTCCTTGCGGCAAAATGTTACAATATTGGAAACGGAAACAGAAAACTTGAAGGTAAGCATAAGAGTATGAAATATATAGCCGGTTTCTCAAAAAAGATATGCTCGTCCTGCCCATAAATTGCGCTTAATATAAGTGGCGGTATGGTGTGGAATACTAAACCTACAAATCTTACTTTTCAACATTGCCTTATTTATTTCCGTTACTCAGACCAAGACTAGCTGACCAATAGGTTGCACAAAAGACAATGACAAAAAATAGATTGATAACTTAGCAACGCATAAAAATGCATAATAAAATTGATGAAATCGGTGAATATAAACTATCCAATCAAAATCTGAACCGAAAAGAAAAATATTGGTAAGAGAGCATATTTCTTTTGTAAACCCTGCATATATCAAAACAATGTCTTACGATAATAAACAGTTATGTTTCTTGAGAAGCGAAATAAATCTATGTGGGAAGAGATAAAAACGGCGTTAGCAGAGATAAAGAGCGCTGCTGCAATAAAATCCAATGCAATTTCTTGGCATAAAAGCCAATGTTTTAATATTGCCTACATGTTCATTCCAATGATTTTGCTTATGATTCCCGCAATGCGTGCTGACGCATACCTTTGAAGGCGAAAATTCCAGGACTTTTTTTCTTTGTCCACAAATCTGTTTATGTTTACATTTTTTTTTGGATTTAAGTATAATATAGTTTTCAACAAACGAATTAAGAAAGTTTAAAATAAAGTGTTTAATAAAGTAATCAATGTAAAAAAATTTGATGTGTTAATACACTGGGATTCTCTGAGTCACCCACAGGTAATGTTTAATAGTTTTCTTTGCTTTTTTGTATTCTGCAACACCCTTTTTCTCGACATTTGGGATAAATTAACTAATCGTAAATGCTTTGAAAAGTTTGCAATCATTTTCCACGGTACTTCGTTAAAGAATCTACTCCTATGTAGATACACTGAATAATGATGAATTCCACGTAGCAATTTGATGACCCGTAAATTATGTGAGCAAGAGGAAGAATTGAATTTTAAAATATTTGACCAGCTATTGCTGATGGGGAAGATACTAAAGAAACTAACGGTAACAATTAATCGATCCGGCAACACTTAGCTGTACCTTGCGATTTGTGTGATAAAATTTCTATAAGTTATAAAGCTTTCGCTACGTCTGTCTTTTAAATATTTCATAGCATCATCAATAACCCAATTGGAAAGCAGTTTGCAGATACACTCTAGGAAACATACCGGTGAATGACCTTTTAAATGTGATTTATGTGAAAAGGCATTTATGAGGCAGCAATATATGAAATTGCATCATGTCATACACAGCGATGAAAGGCCTGATTAGTGCTTCATACTGGACAAAAGCAATTTTCATGTCAAACTTGCGACTAAAGATTTTCGCTGAGAACTTCACTCTACGGACAATGTTTCAAAAGTGGTCATATAAAATAAAGCTCTATTAACAAGCAATTGAATTGTTGTGAAATTGTTGTAGTTGTCTGTCAGGTTTTGGTTTAATAATTTTCCTAGTTTTGGGGTAGTCGAAGATGTCGTGTTGTGAGGTTTTACGTAAATAGCTGCGACATCTGCACTTTTACATGTCTTCACTTTGTCCATGCCCGGCACGCGAAGGATTCGCTCCAAAACAAACTGGATTGATTTTTAAACGAACTTACGAGACGCCATGAACATGTACACAAATAACATTTCGAACGTGTTTCGATGCCTGCTCGTTTGTTAAGTTGTCTGTTTATTGGAAATAAAATGGAATCCCATTCACCAAAGACAGTGAACAACCATCGAATCATGGCACATCTAATGTTAAAGTTATACTCAACAAGGCTACGCCATTATCGGTGAGTAACGAGACAGGATATATAGGATATATAACATAAGAATAAATTAAAAGTGATTTTGACGATATATTACCTAAAAAGGAGTGGAAAGTGAAAATTAAGGAATTTCTCTATCAACAGTTGGAAAGCGAAAGAGCGTTAACGTCTTGTCTGATCATTCAAAATTGCAATACTAAAGAAAAGATGATTTATACATTTTATGGGCTTGGCCAAGCAGTTATAAACGCATTTTTGTTTTGCTGTTTTTGCATTCTTTTGCATTTGGTTTTATTTATTTTCCTAAAAAACAATCGAAAATGATGTAAACATTTATTTTCCCCTCCACCATATGTTGTTCGCGGAGTTGTTTTTAAAATGATGTTAATACTGGGTTGGCGAAAAATTGTGCCCAATGGTCTCTTAAAATTACCAAAAATCAGTGTAAAAGTCTCTCAAAGTTACTAAAAACCTGTGTCTCTCAAAATTACTAAAAACTCATGTAAAAGTCTCTCAAAATGAGCAAAATCAACCAGTGTGTGAAATAACTAAAATAAATGCACTCAAGTCTGAAAACAAGCAAAATGCATATATTTTTTAATAAAAGTGAACAAAACCTCTGAAAAAATCCGATTTTTTTTATAGAAATATACTATACGAACAATATTTTGTTTGGAAAGTTTCATTGAGGTGTTTAGTTAGGCTTATCTGTAACTCTCCTCATTTTGGACAAACATTTTTTCATTCAGACTATTTAAACAATCATCATTGTGTTTCTTTTTCAACATTTTTTTTTTTATTTGCAAAATTAAAAGATGATACCATTGTACCAGCCGTCGAAAGACGTATTTTTGCAATTCTTTTGGGATGGAAGGTTCAAGGATAAAATATCAATGATTGACGATGAGTTATTAAGAATATATTGACATATTAAAATATAGGGGGTCTTAAAGCTATTAATTTTTCTGCTACTGGTAGGTATTTGAAGGCAGCAACTCAATTTTTCGACAAAGAAGGTAATCTGCCTCTTTAATCTGAGCGCTGAGCGCAGCTTCTTCTACCATTGATACAGTAAAAGTTCCTTATTTGCGGGGAATATGTTCCATAAAAATGACGCGAATACAGAAACCGTGAATACGGAATGGAATATGGGATCATAGGCGATATGCTCCTAGGTGACAAAATAAAAAAAGAAACCGTGAATACGGAATGGTAATTTATTTGGGATTATAGGGGGTATGTTCCTAAGTGACATAATAAAAAAAAATCAAATATATAAAAAAATCAATTTAATTTAATGCGAATGTGCATCTACTTTTTCCCTCTTTAGGCAATTTGTTATTTAGGGAAATTACTTAGCTGAAACAATGCTTTATTCATTGAGTAATAAGGTTACTTTCATTCTGTTTGTTTACATTCTCAAAAACCGCGAATAAAGAAATTTATAGCCGCGAATATGGGAATTGGTCGCATTTTTTTCATCGGGGAATAGTGAAACCGAGAGTAAAGGAAGCGCGAATAAGGAACTTCTACTGTACTGTAAAAACTTAAAATGAAAATCCTTGGAGTTATGCTACTGGCCGTTTTGAATAACCACTTTCTAAGAAGGGTGCGTTCGAAGCTCTGCAACGTATTACAGCCCCTAACAATAAAAATAGTGTGCAATCCCAGGATCATAAATATACCTTGCTGTGCTCGAAGATTTTTGTTAGAAGCTGCCGCTCTTGAAATCAGCAAGAAAATGCACAGTTCTATAGAGGGATCTATCTATATTGAATTCCGCATGCTTCATCCCAACTATTTAATTTTTCAGTAGAAGAATTAAAAGCTTTCGAGTCACTCTCAAACTCCAAATCTCTTTAACAATCTCAATGAAATTATAATAACGTTTTTTGATTGGGAAGAGCTTTTCAGAGAACATAAATATTATGAAAAGACATCTTTATGTGACAGACTTTGGAAATAAACACATGGCGTTTCTTTGACGTAGCAAGTCTTTTTGGAGTGCTTTCGGTGAGGAATAAGTTCCTCTCAAATCATGAATTTTTTCTCAAGTATTCTAATAATATCTATTAAGCAAATCAAAAAAAGGGTTTCTGAAAAATGACGTCACCCAATAAGGTAACGTTACGTTCTTACATTATTCCATATTCCTATTTATGGGTTGATATTTCGACTTCGTCGCCTTTTTACTAGACTTGTGGACAGGTAGTTTTCTTGTTTATTTCATTCTTTTTTTAATTCACAGAGGTTTAATAGCTTGCAATACTCAAATGAATATGTTCATTCTGACAATACTATGCGATCAATTTGCTTTACAAAAAATCGCATTGCTGGCTAAGAAACGTTAAAAAACGAAAATTTGTCTATCTCGCACTTTTAGTTAATATGCTTCAGTTACTATTAGCCTTTGCAGGATACTACCGCGATCAAATTCCATACGTTTTCCTGGTCGCATTCGTAATATTTTATATTTATCAGGTGCGCCTACACAAAGCACATATAAGTTCTAAAGAATTTGCTTTGAAAAAAACGCAAAAGGGACTGAAAGGTACTTGTACATTTGCTTTAAAGCTGGATAAAAATTTCAGAGTATGGAATTTTATAGATCTGATTGTAAAGAAGAGATATAATGAAAGAAAATATCAAAAAGCAGTTGAAGAGAAAAAAATGGATATACATTTTTTGAAATTAAGAATCAAAAAGTATGAACAGGAAATAAAAATATTCCAGGTAAGTCATCATTTGCATTGTATGCAGGAATAAAATATTCTTTTTCAGATAAAAAACACAAAGGTTGCTTTAGGTATAGCAGCAAAGGCAAAGAATACATTAAAAGAAAAAGGTGAAGATTGTTTGTACAAGATTCGAACGCCGACACATAAAATTAGGAAGCCCAAGAATACGAAAGCCCGCCTTTACCTATGGTTGTAAACATATAACAACAATTTGCAATCCATTTCCAAAAGAAAAGAGTCAATACTGATAAAAATACTTCATAGATTCTTGTAGATACCACTTTGCCCCTGTAACGCTCGCAAACACAAATTTTTAATACATTTCTCTTTATGAGATATTTATATGCACTAAAATCTGTCGTAAAATGTGATTTGCACGTTTTATTTTTCCGACAAATGAAACCCTTCGAATATTTACACTTTTAGCTACGAGAATCACACTACCGATTTTATGATCGGCGGTCGCGTATGCTTCTGTTTAGATTTTTAAAAAATAAAGACTGAGAAAAACATTTTCTTTGTTTCTGGGATTTGTCTCAACTTTTACATGTTCTTTTGCCAAAAGTACCAAGAACCCAACTTTTCGAATTCTCCATGTCTCGAACACAAGAAAACTAAGGCCTCTAAATCTCCACTTTCCATGTTTCAAAAAGTAAGTCATGTGGTGAATTAAAAAAAAAAAGTTGATAAACGAAAGTTACTTTCTTTGCTTCCCAAATATTTGTGATGTTACCAATTGTCTCATTAACCGAAATATATGGAGAACTGGTAAAATTCAAAAGTTTGAATATGAAATGTGTTAAGGGCAGTTATGTTTAAAGAGTTTTAAGATAAACATAAACTATGGCAAACTATGAAGCATTTGGTGACTTATGTCTCAAATTGTTAGATAAGTCCAGGAAATCAAGTCTTCTACAAATTTTCATATTCTGAGCCTAATTTCATTAATGACTGTTCAAAACTATGTATTGAATAAATGTATCCACAACAGGCCTCTCGTTCTTTTCAATATGAACAAGGCAAATAACGTTTGCATTCTTTTTGTTTTATTGTCAGCTCGTCAATCAAATTTGTCGACTAAACCCATTAATCAAATTTGATGAAAAGCGGAATCGAAAAGGCAAGCAACAAGACGCTTTATTTATGTTCATGGGCATGATGAAAATATCGATTGAATTGATACCAATAGC